TTTTAACGGTAAGAAAGAGTACTATATTTTAACTAGTGAATTAGCATATTTTTAGTTTCAAATGGTAAAATATCGGCAGAGATACAAGAAAAATGTGAAAACGAGGYTGGTATAAGGCCTCAATACTGATTTTTACTCAAACCTTTGTAATTTCAAACACCTGTAATTTCTGGTCCTCAACTATACGAGCATTGAAACTTTCAAACCTCAGTCATTATTATATGTTCTTTCAACGGGTAGTAATGATAATATATTAAACAACTAACTTATGATCCAAGGCGTTACGATAGCCACACCCTTTTTTATATTGTCTATACTTACCAAAGAGGAGAGTGGKTGGGAATTARATGAAGTGAAGTTACTTAGTGTGCACAACAAACACATGAGGACACCATGTGGCCCTGCAAGCTACGGGGCACCCCTGCAGAAGCAAATCATGTTAAAAAGCAGGGCTAAAGTTTAACTTTGCCCAAATTGTTAAGTTCTTCAGCATTTGAAATAGAATTACAGTAAATTCCTGTTTTTGGGAGTAAACAGCGAGAGACTTGGAGCAAGTCTAGATGCATAACTAGGGCAGTTTCATACAGTAACAAACTCAAACCTACAAAACTTCTACTAATTGTAGTGTGTTCATTCTTGTGAATTGTGTTTTGTGTTGTTTGTTATAGCTTAAATGTTCTATTTTTGTTGACTTTTTAGAATATCCCAAATGATGGTTTTGAGTATGCAGTTGCTATTATGGATCGTGTGGTACCTTATGACAATACCCAGTTGCTTTTCAAAGTAAGTGTTCACTCAATATCTTAAGAAAGTGTGCAGGACTGAAAAAGTAATGTAAACTAAGGAATAGGCCCTTTGCAGSTGGGGGTCACATGGCCACACCTACCTTAAATCAATCAGCAATGACAAAATGATCAGAAATGGAAAGAGGGATCAAAATAAGTAGGAATACATAGTGTCTCAACACTAAAATTTTTCCAGAAACCTATAAGGGACTTGAAACATGTAKCTCAGTGCCACCTGTTGGAATATTCAAATCTAATTTATATCCCATTCAGTCCTTATTTGGAACAATCCAATTTACCCTAGCCAACTGAACGGGCCATATAACTCTTATCCAATGGCAGAATTGTCCAAATATGGTMATAATGTTCTTTTTCAAATTTTTAATGAGCCTTGAATATTCTGATGCTTGGTACTAAAGAAATGTATGGGCGCTACACGTTTCAAGTCCCATATAGGTTTCTGATATTTCAAAATGGATAGCAAATATAAAATCATTTTTTCCCTAAAGAAACATATGCAAAAACAGAACTGGAGAGCAAGGCTTGCTCCAGTTCTATTTTCCCATACGTTTCTTTAGAAAAATCAATATTTTTTCCAAAAACTTGATGTTAAGCAGTTCACAGTAGCTGGAAAGTCAACTGAACACGCATTAGCATATATTCTCCACCTGACCTTGGAGGCACTTGACAAAGGGAACTGTGCTGTGCRCTTATTCTTCRCAGATTTTCGGAAAGGATTCGACTTAATCGACCACAAAATTCTCGTTCTTCGACTTACATCCTTGTCTTGTTAGATGGATCAGCGCTTTCCTCCTTGGAGCGCTTTCCTCCTTGGAAGATCTCAAATTGTGTGCCTAGATTCTCATTCATCCTCGTCCCCTTAGTGGTGGGATACCTCAAGGAACCAAACTGGGTCCCATCCTCTTTGCAGTCATGGTTAACAATCTTATTTCTGATTGGAGTCCCTGCGCCAAGTTTGTGGATGACCTGGCGGCTTTAAAAATTATTCCAAGAAACTCGCCATCCGTTATGGGATATATCGTTTCTGATATCCAATATTTTTCAAGTACAAACATCCATTTATTTATTGGTTGATATTCTGTAACTAATTGCCCCAGGATATGCCTGTGGGTAAAATAATCCCCCCTMMCTTGGGCGAAAAAACGCCTTGCAATCAGTGAAGAACCACCTCACTTCTCCTGTGTTCCCAAGGGGTCACCCCCAGGGGCAAGCTGTTTATAGACGCATTTAGTACTAGAAAGATTACCAGTAACATGTCATTTGTCAGTGAGTTGAACTTGATTTCTATCTCTCTCTCACATAACACACTGAATCAAATTGCTTATCTTTTTTCCCTGTCCCATTTCATTTGCAGAAAGGAGAATTAATAAAAATAATCAAGAAACATGAAGATGGCTCATGGTTTGGTGAAGTTAAAAACAAAACTGGAAAATTCCCATTCAACTATGTCCAAATTGTGGACAATGAWAAGAATGGATTATAGATCATTGCTGTATTCTAAATAATCAATCAGTTTGTTCATGGAGCAAAACAGTCATATTCATATTATATATTGGCAAAAATAGATGTTTTCTTTGATTAAGTTTTAAATTTCTATATTAACTGTAGTTATTTTTCTAAGTATGACAAAGTAAAAGATAGATGATATTAATCTGATGCATAGCTCCATGTGTTTTTTTCATGAGAATGACCATTAGAATGATGCTGTAATTCTATTTTTACTTATATGTTACAGTGACTAACTGATCATATAGCTATTTCAAAAAAGGTTGTCGGAAAAAATGGTGAATGTCAATGGTTGAACGGTGAAAGTCCCTGGGTTTTGCCTGTTCAAAGGCAATAAAAACTTATTTGTATTGTAARATGGCCGGTTGTGACATTGGATCCATTTAGTCTCCATTAYTAAGTAAGGTGAATCCAATAATTTTGTTTATCAAAACAGTGTAACCAAAATCCCTTTCGGTCGTGCAATCTCCCTTCGACAATCACCATTCGCCGTTCCCCCTGACAACGTTTTTTGAAATAGCTGTATATGTAATAGGTATATGTATTTCTAAAGTACAGATTTATACTTTATACTACAGCAATTAATCTCACTGGGTCTTTGTAGATTTATCAGTGCCTTTTAACATTGTTGATAACTTGTTTAAATGGATAGATATAAATGGATAGATATAAACAATTAGTGAAGTTCTACAATAAAAGTATCTACATGTAAGCAAGAGGAGGGTGGTTGGGCTCAACACACTCAAAAAACTGAGCTTTGTCTGATTTCATTCACAGAGTATCCCTCCCCCTAACCCTGAGGGATTTGCTCTGTTTCAAGATTTTAAGGCAACCAATGGAAAAAAATTGTTGCATGATAAAGTGAAGACACTCAGAATGTACAGCTCAGTGACCACAAGCAAACCATTGAACTGAAGAATCAAATTAAACTGAGCAGATCTTTACTTTAATTGTTTTAATCTCAGCTGCACCTTGATGCCTCAGGTTAATGTATTGCTTCATGGTCACTTGAATGAGATCTAGAATGCATATTTGTTATTCTCTGGTTTCCCTTTCAAAAATTAATTTAAAGGAATTACTAAAATAGAAACGTAGACATTGATAAAGCATGCAGATTCTTTTAGACTTAACTTAAWGTGGATCAATGTAGTTTTTCAGCTTTCTTTTGAAGTGATGACATTTTCAGCCTGATGAGCCATGGCAACGATCCATGGTAACACCATTTAGCTGAAAATAGGATCATTTAAAACTCATTCATTTTATTTCTATAACTGGCCCAAAAATGTAGTGAATAGGTATAGGTGAATGCTATAAATAAGTGGAATGAAAATGAGAGGCATTTTAGTTATATAAAACTTGCAGCGATCCACCTTAATCACTTYTATAATAAATAGCTTCTCGTTTCTCTTTGATTCATTTGTGTGTAAAGCATAAAAATATTCTGAATGTTTTTAATGATAATTGAGAAAGGTAGAATAAATCATTTTCTTATTTTGTGTCTATGTTGGACTTCAAAGGAAAAATGTTGTGGAAACCTCCCATCTCTACTGCTCCCTTGATAATCAAGCCTACCCCCTTTTTAAATCAATATAAAAAAGAGCTCGTTGCCAATGCAATCTATGTACATGTATTCTTTAATTYATAAATAACYAAAGTCAGGCTATTTCTTCACAAMGTCACGCAACAATRGTGTTATGTGAATATTTTTCTAAAATTCGAGGTGACCGRTCAGGAAGAGATTGATCAAGATTTTTTTTCTCACGTTAGTATCATCATGCATGATATCAATATTAAATGTAAGGTGATTCCCACTTTCTAATCTGAATCGGTATTGMAACAAATCGCATAGATATTGTAAAATTAAATGGTGATTGAAATGGGTTTCTATAGTGTAAATCCATGAGATGTTATGTGCCATGTACCGATTACACAACATTCGTTCCAGCTCCGCTTTATCTATTCGACAAATAAATGTGCATACATAGGATAAGAAACTAATCAGTTGGAAATTAACAAAAAGCAAACGGCATGTACGGAAGGACTTTGCCGAGATTTCCCTGCCTTGCGATAATGGCAAATGTAAAATGTAACACTGAAAAAAGAGGCGACATTAAAGTATTGTATTATGGAATATTAGTATTTGTGTTTTTTGTTTGTTTTTGTTGTAAGGCATTAGACCTTTTTGGTCTTACACTATTTGTTTGAATTCGTGCACTAGATGATAGACGAATGCATGCGGACGGGACTTTCTTTGTTGCGCAAAACAATAATTACCTCAACTCTTTCAATTAGATAGAAAATTAGCTGCTCAATTGATGCTGTCGGTGCGATCTTGATCTTGCGTAATTAATAGAAGTTGATTATGGATGGTTATAGTTTATTATCGATCGTTTATATACTTAGCAGCAACAGTAGACACGGAAGGAGGTGGAGATAAGGACATTGCCAACCGTATTCAGAAAGCTCGTGGTGTGTTTAAAAGTAGTTTAGGGAGGGTCTRGYCAGTGAGAGGAATTGGAAKGAAGACGAAACTAAAAATGTTTGACTCGCTAGTTGAACCTGTTTTGTTATTATTTTATGGAAATTGACCAACCGATGAGAAAAACTGGATCCTGAGGATTAAATAATGTTAAATAGTGGGAGAAGATTTCAAGAGGGTCAGGGAAGTGGGAGAAGGTGAGAACATTAGTAGTAAAATACACCGAAGAAGATGGAATTGGCTTGGGCATATACTTAGGGGAGGGCGAGAAAATGACTGTTTGACACAGCCTTGGGAGTGGACACCACCAAAGGGAAGCAGTGCAAAGGGGTAGGATGGAGGAGCTGGGATGAAACCAAAACAGCAGCAAGGGACAGAGCTGGGTGGAAAATAGAGTGAAGGCCTTAAGCGCCTCCTGGCGAGAGAGAAATGATGATAGACCAGTCATATATAAAATTTTATACGTGCATTTTCATTTAAAAATGAATCGCATGGTACCCAATTTAACTATTTACAAAATAACACATTAGTCACAACGTTGTTATTCACGTTTCAGACGAGCGTATGTAAGTTTTTAGTCACTTCCCCATGGAAGTTTCATTTATAGTTGTACAAAATTACATGTAATCCCTTAAGAAGTCTCTGTTAAGAGACGAAACGCATAAGAAATGAAAATTTTTTACAGCTTTTCAAAGAGTTATCGTTAGTCGTGAGTGCTGCTCGCTAGTAATAGTACGCTTTTACGGTTTGTACATGTACTCTATTAAAAACGGAAATGTAATTTGTGTAAGCTTCTTATCAAACTCATTAATAATTCATAATGTCATTAGCCAATGATATACTGAGAATCTAATCACGTGATTATACCTTTATATTCGTTAAAAGGTGCAGCAAGCTCAAAGTTGGGGGTGGCTTTGAATAAGTGATACAGAACTAATGTTTTATTAATTAGGTCTGTGTCAGGAAAACGTTGAGTAATAATCAGCCCCCCACTCCCCTGAAAATATTCAAAATGTCTAAACTCGCGCGAAATCAAACACAATCAAACACAAAAAATCAATGTTGAAGCAATGTTTCGTTTCCGCGCAATTTACTCGTTCGTCGGATAAGCTTCGCGCCCCGCCTTGTATGAATTGGACCATCCAAAAAATCAACGACTCGGCATTCATGTCCTCAAGATTAGTGTCAGCATCTTGAAATGACTCGCTGTTTTTGAAACTGAATCTGATGCTCTCATTTTTGACTTTCTTGTTCACACAGTCATTTTGCTAGTCGCAAAATAAGGTTGTGGCTCATTTTGTTGAATACTTTGTGGAACATCGTACTCGACATGTCTTCGAGGGAGAAATGGAAGCCAACTGATTTAATTTTTGCTAACTATGAATGCCTAATATCKTGYAATTMCTTTGACAATTCTAATTTTCTATAGTTTGGCAAGCACATTCTTTAAAAAACAATAGGAAAATAAACAATTTTCAGGAGTAAGTAGGAAGTAGTAAGAGCAGAGCTTCTCGAGCCCCGAAAATAGGAGGTATAAATCATTTCAGTAGGAGGTATGCTAATGAAGTCAAAAGTGATAGGGGAGGGGTGGTCAAAACGAGTAGGAGGTATAAATTATTTCAGTAGGAGGTATGCTAATGATGTCAAAAGTGATAGGGGAGGGGTGGTCAAAACGAGTAGGTGGCAATTCATTAGCATAAAATTGTGGGCGACTTTTGTGTTGGTAAATTGTGTGCATCTGGTCGACTTCAAATCGACCCTACATCGACCTCACATCGACATGGCATTGACCTCACATCGACATGGCATCGACATGACATCGACATGACATCGACATGACATCGACATGACATCGACATGACATCGACATGACATCGACATGACATCGACATGACATCGACATGACATCGACATGACATCGACATGACATCGACATGACATCGACATGACATCGACCTGACATCGACCTGACATCGACCTGACATCGACCTGACATCGACC